AACCGACGCGAAACAAATTGGTTCTTTCGGCACTATTGAGAACATAATTAATCTTTTGGACCAATGATAATTTCATTCATGTTACTGTTAAGTTTTCTTGACAAATGAAGATGAAGAACTCATCTGAAGAAAAAGAAATAAGGCAATAACAAATGCAACTATTCCATCATCTCAACTAGTACCGTACAATGACTATGGGAAAATATTATAGACCCCAAATAAATTATTAAGTTTTTTATCAAATCTCTTATATGGGTGTGAGATTCATACAAATTACATGTGTATGGGTCCCATACTAATGTAAAAAGTTTGGTAAAAATTTGATAATTTATTTAAAATTCCTAACGTAATTCATGATTATGTAGCTGGTGTCAACCACATTTCCGATGTTTATTTATGTCTAATAATGTGGTGAAAAAGAATGTAAATTAGTACTCTTTTAATTAAAAAAAAGGACAAGTTAAACTTTTACATAGATTTTAGCTCATGTTTCATTTTGTTCTCTCATTCTAAGATCCTTAGAGGAAAAAAAATTATATAACAAATTACATTTTTAATATTTAATTTTCAATCAAATTTTATTTTGATCATTCACGTTTTAACTTTCATGAGTTAAAGTTTGAAAAAATTGTTACAATTAGAAGATGAAACACCAAAGTAAAATTTAAGTGAAAATTTTAATTATTATTATTTTTTTTTTTTAAAGTATAATATACAATGAATTACAAGAAGAGCTAATAGGGAAGTTTATGAAGTTTATGAGGATAAATATGTGCACGTGTGAATGAGTAGAGAGGGGACAAAGATCTGGGAGAATCCAACATGGATTGGGGAAGAGGCTTTGTACACGTGCGCCGTGGCATTTATATGTTGTATGTGTAAATATCAGTTTTCTTTGTGCATGTGCAAATGTCTACGTTTTCCCTCTCGGAAAATTATTAATTTCTCTCCAAATATTATGTGATCATAATTTTTTTTATCAATCATTATTTATTTTATTTTTTTTCTATTTTTCAATCATCTAATATAAAATTATAATATTTTATTACTAATTATAATATCATAAAATAGTATATGAGTGTAATTCGAGAGTATCTAATAATTACCTGTTGCACCCTTTCCCTGTGTCTACCTTTTCTCTTTCTTTCTTTCTTTTTTTTCTCTCTCCTCACCTCTCACCTCTCACCTCGCGGGGCATACCCCATTACACAAGACAAAACACATATATTTGATTCACAATCTCTACACGCCACCAGCCCCATTTTTTTCTCTATCCAAAACAAGACGGAGTGGGAGAGAGAGAGAGTGAGTGAGAGGAATGTAACATTCCAGAAAAAAAGTTTTGCCGCTACAATGGAGTTTTCTCCTAGGAGGTTGCCTATGTTTGTATCTGTATTTTTTTTTGGGGAATGGCTTTCCTCCAGTTCAATCACGGATTGAAGGGTACTCTTGGACCTGTGAGGGGCTCATCACGAATCTCATTTTGATAATTCGAACCGTACAATGTGTACAATTTGTCAAGTACTATAAGCCTATAAAAAATTACGTTGATCGGATATCGATAATTATGTGATCAAATCAGTTTTGTATAGAAAAAAAATAGACGGTGAAAAGTAAACGACTTACAAAAATTTGATTAGATCACATAACTATCAATATCCGATTAATATAATTTTTTACAGGCATATAGTTCTCGACAAATTCTACACATTAAAAGATTCGAAATATCGAAACGATGAGCATCACGGGCCCAACAATAACCCCAGTTAGATCACGGACCGAAGGAAAGCCATTCCTATTTTGAAGGAGAAGTTGTTCGGTGCCATGTGCGGCATGCTGCACCCGACATCTCAACTATCGATTGATGTGGGTCCCACTCAAGGTTTACATTACTCAACAGCTTAGATACTGCACCGGTTATGACAAAATAAATGAAAATGAAAATGAAAATGAAAATGTCAAACAAAACAATCACATAAGAACATGTGGTTCAACTATAAACATCCGACTAGGGGCAAAGAAGGGTTCTCCATCTCAAAATGTTCTGTAATGATCCTCGAAATAACCCATCACGTATACTAGGCTCCAAATATAAACATTACCTAATGATCCAGGTGTGGACTGCTAACGGGTCATAAAAACAAACCAAATAAAATACGAGTCACCTACAACAATACCTAATAATTTCTGGTATGGGGGGGGGGGTGGAATTGCCCCATCTCTATCACGGATTTAGGTGTCCCACCCAAATGATTGTGTGGGTCTGGCCAGTGTTGAATTGTTCAATCAAATGGTTGACTTGAGGTTATGAGGTAGTTTAAAAATTTTAGCTTCTAACCCTCCCTTTCATTTCAGTTTTCATTTTTAAGGCAACTTTCTCGTCTTTTGAAAGTCTGCTGATTTTACTATCACTGGCTAATTAAAGAATATTGAACCATTAAAAAAAATTAATTAAACTAATCAGCAACTCTTACCAATTCAATCCAATTAAACTCAAACCCATCAACCACAATCAAATTAAACACAGTTGATCTGCCCATTGAAATTTCATGTTCAAATCCGTAGCAGTAAATTCAGACGCTTTGGATTCGATTCTCAGTGATATCTTCTAAAGCTTAATTGATACGTGTGATTTACAAATGATTGCAAATATTCGAGGTTTACTCTACAAAGTAAGTAAAAAAGAGAGTTTTCTCACCATTAAAACAAATACAAAACCAAAAATCAACTAAGACTATAGCCTAGTTGACCAAATGTACCCAAAAAAAATTGAGAATTAAAGATGCTACTTCATCAATATATATATATTTAAACCTTTCTTGACTAATACTGCCCCTGTTCAAGTAATTTTGTAACATATAAAGCCAAATGATGGTGATTAGGTAGCATAATTCTTTAATTAAAAGCAACCTATAGAAGGCAAACTGCACCCTATAACTCTACTCTCAATAGACTTTGTGAATGAAACCACTTAACCATTTTATTTAGAGAAGTGCAAGGCAACCCATTAAGTTGATTGGAAAATTATGGTAGACTTTTTTGCAAAGATTTGATCTTCTCCAGTTGTTGGATGTTTAATATTAAACTCAAAATCAAGTATGATTGAAATGATTCCACCATAAGTACTTTTTTTTCTTTTTTTGCCATAATTAATTAGTGAGTTTTCCTCCTAACACAAGATACTACTAATAGTGTGATATCAAGACAACAAATCTTGGGTTGTTTTATCATTAGATTTGAAATAATGGAACTTTCATATCTGACATCTCCACTAGATAACTCTGTTTTCTCGAATATGGTTGCACAACTACTTCAACAGTTTAAACATTTTTTTTGAGTAAATAGAGTTTTCTTAAACCTATAAATAAACTATATTGATGTGGAACACACAAAAAGATGATACAGTGATCAAGTTAATAGAATCAATAGCTTTGCTTATATATCTATGTACTCATACACAGTAGATAACAAGCAAACAAGACAATAAAACGGATGCAGATTTTTCAAGGCATCTTTCCCATTTGGTTAGAAGGCCAAAAGTAAACAAGTAAAAGGATTTGTACATATATCCTTCAATAAAATTTATTGGGTGGCACGTGCCAATCACTATAATGAAGATTGAATCCCAGAAAAAGAAAATATAGAAGTCTACACATCGATATCATTATGTAAACAATGGCCTGCGGATGATCTTCTAACCAACCGAGGCAATTAATAGACCAGACGATGAATTGAAAGCTCCACAACTACGCCTCTTTTATGTGAATGACATTTCATTGGTAGTGAAAGGTTTTGTTGCAGTAAACTATTTATGTGGTCATGTATGTCAGCATTTAGCATATAGTTTTTGACATTTTGTAAGGAGGTGATACTACTATTTGACGAGGCTAATTTTAAAGATTGCACATACAGAAAAGAAATCAACACTTTTTGCAGTTTTAACCATGTAGTTCTGTAAATAAGACAATATTTTTAGAAGTTTCAAGAATTTGAGAAATTAGAAGTTTGAACTTTTTAAGCTCATACTGAGTTCTTAAAATAGGAGGAAATATAATGACATTTGAACACTCTCACCCCTAGCATTGGGGGACAAAAAAATAATTATGTCAATCAATCTATGGTATGAACTTCAAACCCATAAGAATTAACTGATAGCTTATTTTTAAGGTTGTGGCTAACAAGGCACGTGGCTTGGGTTCGAGTCCCCTAGGGACCAACTCCATCTCACCTAATTACCAACCCTTAATTGCTGTAGTATTTTGGTGCTTTTGGTGATGACTACATTTGAAGCCACCATCATTGAGGGTTTATTGCTACGATTAAAATTAAGCTTATCACTTCTATGTACTTGGCAAATCCTACAAAGTTCCTTCCTTTATTAGAAAATTATTTTAAGTTTCACTTGGATGTCAGATCCGTTATGCAAGACGACCACAACTTATCCCTATCTCTTGTTAATCATACAAAAAAAAAAAAAAAAATTCTCTTTGGACTTCCAAGAATACATTAATGGGAGAACTAAATGCAGGTGAGAGTTGAGAAAAAAATTACAAACATGTGGTGGTGCAAGTGTGTCTATGGTAAGGAGCAAATGAAAGGCTGTGAGGGAGCAAGTGTCACTTGTATCCCTCCATGTGTTGGTAATTTTTTTCTCTAACTCTCACATGCACGTAGTTCCCCTTACATTAATTAATCTAAACCTAGCAAGCCATGACTTCAAAGAATTTTCCTTTAGGGCCATCTTGGGCCACACATATTAGGGTTGTTAACTTGTTACAAATGAGTTCACTCATTCACAGGCCTGCTGGACCTCCTTTTCTTCCTCAAATATTTTTGGCAACCTCAAAGACAAATATTATTACAATCAAATAGCAGGGTCTCTACTATTAAAATCAAACAGCAGCGTGTGCTAATATGACTAAAAATATTCACAATCAACAATATTTCAAAGCTCAAACACAAACAATCAAATATTATATAATCAACCATATATATTTCAAAACTCAAACAATTAATTTTATTTGTAACCAACCATTTTTCAATCTCACACTAATTCAAAGTTCAAACAACAATGCAACTACTGTACAACAAATGATCTAAAAAAGAAAATATAAATAACCAATGAATCTTGAACCCTCATTCAGCACCACCATGTTGAAGCACACTGACACAATGTACGACATCCCAAACGCATGCACATATGTTCTTGTAAATCAATAAAATATAAATACTAAAAATTTGTATAGCAGTGCAATGACGATAATAAATAAGATTTGATCAGCTAGCGAGATTGTCTTACTAATCTTGGCAAGACCATGATTGAAATTTGAAGGGGAACATTTGAGCTCGATGGAGAAAGGTGATCCAGCACTAGAATCCTTCGGGTCAAAGGTCAGCTCCCCACTTGTAGGTTTGAATTCTCCAAGGCTCCATTCCTATTGTCACAAGTGCACATTCAATATTTATTAGGTATATCAGCTTGAACAAAGGTGACTTTTCAGAATCGATATCCTTTTGCCTCACGTTTAGCTATTGACCAAATAGCAAATTCCTAAATAAAATAGCATTATCAAAATAAACGACAAAAGAAATCTAAATTACCTCCAATTGTTTTCCAACTGTAACAACAATTGAGTCTGGGCTTGCATTGAATGACAAAGATCCGCGCTCCAATTGGACATGAAATACACATTGTTCCAGTAGAAGATGAAGGCTCAGAGCATGTTCATAATACGTTTCATGGTTTTTCTCGTTAAACAGAGGTGGAAAGTTGCCCATGGAACCAACCTGGTCGTATCTATATAAGCTGAGACTTGATTCTCTTGGTTGAATTCCCTTGTGGATCAGATGCTTATTTGCAGTCTCTGATATGACCTGAGCCAATTCTACTGCAATGGCTTCAAGTTTATTTGTAACATTCTTGATCTTTTGGCTGCAAAGGAAGGAAGAAAAAAAATCTTTGCAAGGTAATTATTACTTCTAGCTAGTGAGCAAGCAAAACTGCTAAGTTGATAACTTGATTGCACCATTAACCTCTCCTTAATTCATTATCTTGTTGACCGCCAAATAAAAAGAGTTAGCAATCTTGCTTTTATAATATGGATAGTGCCATAACAAATTTTGCAGTTGTTCGAAAGAACCCAATTAAGTTGTACAAATAAAAATGCAAAATATGACGTTAGAAATTAATACTAAACTAGATTTTTTAATTTTTTGACACCGGAAGAAGAAGAGATTTTAGTAAGAAGATGAAGGACCAAATGACCTGCAATCAAGAAGAGAAGGCCTAACAAAACTAGAAAGGTTAAGGTATGCAGCCAGCTCACCCCTAGCTAGCACCCTTGGCTGACATGTAGTAGCACCGGATAGTCACTCAATGATGCTAGATCAGTTATTCATTGCGTGTGTGGCAATGCCGCAACTCAATGATGTTAGACCATTTGCAACATTGTTGAACATGACAATGAATAAATCTTCATGATGCTAACATATGTTAATCTATGGAGGTAATAAGATGACCCTGCACTACCATACACCAAATAGGATGGTTTGAAACGCATTTATCTTATGCATATAGTTCGTTCTATTATGTGAAGCATTTGTTTAGTTAAAAGGAACTAAGCTATAATAGTATTTTGACAATGCATCTTTGTCACTATTTTTATGCTCTTAAAAACAAGATCAAATCTTCTGTCTTCATTTTTTCTGTCCAAAACGACTTCTCTATCACATGATTATTGTATGATATAAGCAAAGTAGGAGAATTGGAAAAGAGGATTCCGTGTGCTCAATAAATATGAAAAAAAATCAAAGGATAGAGCACTAGGATGTTTTTGGTCTCTAGTTTTACGGCAACCCCCACACCTCATTGTATTTCTTCCCAAACATAGTTAATTTCCATTACTTTCTTTTATAGCTCGCCTACTCTTAAGGGTATAAGTAGGTGAGTCGCTAAGCAGTAAAAGCAAGAGGCCCCACAACAAGTGCGGGTAGCATAAAAAGGGAGTAATAAAGCTCCTCCATCCAGCCTCGCTTCTAACATGAGATTTAAATCCCCAACCTCTCATACTATTGCTTAGAGTTGCAAAAACGAATAAAATTATTCTAACTCAACTCAACTCCCGTTTAGTTCTTTTAAAAGTTTCCTTCGGTAACGAAACCAAGTTTCAATCTGTTAAAAGTTACTACTCGATTCAGTGCGACTTATTTGCAACCTTACTAGTTCAACTCCCATTGGGCTTAGCACATTACCTCCTTATGTCAGTTTTGTTTCCTACTCCTACCCAATAATATTTTCTGACCTTGTTCCTCATGGGCCTGTATATGGGTTTAAAGGCCCACAAACAAAGCCCAATTGTTTGGACCATGACCAGTAAGCTGTTTGGGTGGTATATATATATGTAGGGATATGGTGTATGGTTTAATCAGCCCATCCCTGATCGATACCCCCAACTGTCTCAACTGCCAATTGAAATATTCCAACCCCAACGCAATCAGTTAAACCAATATCGTTGCCAGACCGAAAAATGAATAAAAAAAAGTTTCGGCCCTCGCTTACCCGAGACTCCGATACTTTTCGGCTCCGATTTCATTTCGGGCTTGTTCCGTCACCGTCTTCTCGAAACGCCGCCACACAAACTCTTCACAGCCGCCGTAATGCCGGCAATATCCACTCCTTCCATGGTCGGAAATTCGGAAAATCAAGTCGGCTTCCGCCAACGCCGATCGCAATTCGTCTACCCGAATTCCATGCCCACTGATCCGAAACACACCGAAATCCGCAGCGGATCGCAAAAGGCGATTGACCGAACCAGCGTCTCTGGATAAGAGGGAGTGGAGATCGATGTGGGCGGGAACGGAACGATGAACGTAGTCGGGGAGGGAGAGTTGGGGGATTTTGAGAGATCGGTTGAGGTAATTGGAGAAGATCGAATCTGCGGCACAGCGGGAGCCTTTGCCGGTGGGGATCGGGGATGGAGGCGGTGCCTGGGATGATGAGGAGGATAAGCGACTCCTCGACCGCATGATAGACATTAGAGTTGGTGGTGGTGGTGGTGGTGGCGGCGGCCGCGGCGTTGCTTTTGTTTGGCGTTTGACAAGTACAAAAAAAAGTTGACAGGCGAAAGAGAAGCACTTTTTTTTTTTTGAAAGTTTAGAAGGGCACTACCTATCTACAAGTAGTAGCAGTAGTAGTAGTAGGCCCCGCTATGGTGCACGTTTGGTGTAGTATGCACGTCTGCAGTGAAGATGTGGCACCACATTCCTCACGTTCACACCAATGAATACGACGAGTAAAGAATCGCAAAATATCAATTTTTCCCCCCTCTGTAACAGTATTTTTTTAATGCCTAAAATTTCTGCTTAATTATAATCCCAAACTATGTAACTTGACATTAATAAAAGTTACTCACATTATTCCAATTTTATTATTTATAATCATTTATGTGATTGGCTAGTAATAACTTTCCTCAATTGGAGTTACATTTGTTTATTATTGACTATATAAATTAATAATTTTTTATTTTTGAAAAAAAAAATACTCATGTTACAGTTATGACGTTTCCATCCTAAAATTTTAAGGATCCGCCTCCTTTCCAGCCATCTCTTACACTTTACAAGAGATGAAGACGCGTGGCAACCAAGGATCCAAAAGCGAGAGAGAGGTCACGTTTTGTGCATATCGATCGACCAATCGGATGACTGGTACAACACTCGTCTACCGCGGTTGTCACCCTCATCAACCGTAGCTATCATCTTATCTACGATAGCTGTCACCTTGTCGACCGCGACCGTAGCTATCACCTTATTTACAGTGTTTGTCACCCTATCGACTGCAAATGTCATCTTGTTGCTGAATGACCGACCAAATGACCAGCTGATTGACTGACAAGGAAGTGCAAGACATGACTGGATTGAAATAGTACTGGAGAGGAGGCAAATCCAAATTTGCAACCGGTTGACCGACAAGGGAGTGTAGGACATGGCTGGATTGAAATAGTGCTGGAGAGGAGGTGGATCCAAATTTTGGTAAATTCTATTTTAAATATCAAAATTTAATTATTACATAGCATCCCATGAGTAAAAATGTTGATAAATTTGGGTGATTGATCATAGGTACAAAGTGAAACACAACTTTATTTTCGATGTAACCAAAAAAAAAAAAAAAAAAGTGAAACACATTCAACCAAACACAGCAAATCCCTTTTTAATTGGACCTTGAATTTATAGAGGAAAAAAAGGGGAGAGAGAGGGAGAGAGAGAGAGAAGAGAAAAGAGAAAGTAAATGAAGTACATACTATTTTTTTCCTCCACAAACTCAGGATCAAAAGACAGTATTAATAAGTTTTATTAAGCAACACAACCAAAAAGCAAAAAATGCTTCACTTACAAGAGGACAAGCCAAAAAGTATTATCATTCCAGTTACAAAAGAACATGCCAGTTGAAGTTACATTTAACCTAAGCAACAACAAATAATCTGTGTTCAAAGCTAAACTACAAGGTTGGGAGGCCAAAACAAGACCTGTTTGAAAACCATACTTTTCAATATCCTATATATAGACAATCACTCAATGCAAAGCAATTTAATATGGGGGAGAATAATTAGTAGAATGTACAAAAAGGCATTTGCATTACCCTGAAGGGTAAGAAGAAAAAAAATGACTCATTTCCTAAAATCCTAGGCAATAGTGAAAATGAGCCGCAATGGCAGAAAGCTCAGGATTAGGCCGGTTTGTTAGCAGAACCTGTTCTATCCGTACTTACTATGCCGATGTAAATAGAGCATCCCTTCCCTTCCCTTCCCACCACAATCAGTTTGACAAAGGTGGGAAATCATCTTCATCCTTTAGACGGTACAATGATTTTGCCGTAACCCTACATGTCCAAAACAAAAGGGCTCAAACACAATCCTAAGATGTCATTTGATAATGTTTACAATTTACTATTTTATGTAAACAAAAATATAAAACATGTTTGATACACAAGCATTTTGAAAACAAGTGAAAGGGATGGTCGGCCGGAGGTGGAGGTTGAAGGTGGTGACTGGAGGTGGTTGCTGGACGTGGGAGGTGGTTGACAGTAGCTAGAGGTAGAAGTCGGCAGCATGAGGTGGTGGCCTACAGTTGGAGATGGTGGTTGTCCACCAGAGGTGGTTGTTAGAGGAAGTCACTAGCAATGATGGCCAGGATGGGGGAGGCCAGTGGGGGTGATGAGCAGTGGTGATGGCTGGAGGACGTGGGAAGAGGAAGGAATGAAAAATTTTTCTCTAAACAACTGAAACCAAACAAGTTTTTTGTTTGCAGTTTGCAAAATTTTTATAATTAAACAGAATATTGTAAACATAAACGTTACCAAACCGACAATATTTCAACCACACAGCAACAACAAATAATAAATTTCAGAGATTGTAAAATTCTCATACCTATCCTGATTCATACGCAGTGCAAGTTTCGATTTTTGCATCCCCGTCGTTGGAAGGCTTTGAGTAGAAGTTTGAGGGAGCAAAGAGGCAGGATTCAATTGCCTGCTGCATTCTGGCAATGTCACTGCTAATGGAACGTGCCCAGCTGACCCAAACTCAATGACTCCATCAGATTGGAGAAGTAAACTATTGATGTCAGGGTACACAGTTCCACCAGGGGAATCACACTCATAGGAATCTGAAGACCCGGACTTCCCATAACCTTGATCAGAAAATTGAGTTTGTGACAGTTCACGACTGCTTCTGTCTAGCAAGTTTGTCTCCATGGGTGTCACTGCCTGCCCATTGTTACGAGGGGACCTCACTGGTCCCTGATTCCTCCCCCTCCCGGTCGAAGTGTTCTGGTACGGAGGCCGGTTCTGCAAAAAATTACCCATAAAACCACTTAAAGGTAAAAACACTCACCACTGAAACAATATAACATAAAACAGAACCTGAAATATGACACCAACATACACTGAACATGACATTTCATCTGTTAACGTTGTCAGTTTCCTGTTTTCTAAAAAAAAAAGAAACAGAAAACTTGCTGTGTGTATAAAATTGTTTTGAAAACAAAAATAGAGAAATATGTTTGGTAAGATGCCGGAGGTGGTGGCCAACGGTGGAGGGTGGACAGATGTGGTGACCTGCGGTGGGGGGTGGCCAAGGTGGCAGCCATAGTTGGTGCTCGAAGTGTTGCCAGAAGTCACAGAGTGGCCATTGGGCCGCCGAAAGGGGGCCAGAGATCACGGCATTGACCGTCAGATCACCGAAGAGTCACCAAAAGGTGGCCAGAGCTTGCCAAAGGTAGGTAGTGGTTTCCAGTGGTCAGTGGCAGCAGTGGGTGATGGTCGGAAGTGGAGCGGGAGAGAGAAGAAAATGAAAACTTGTTTTGAAAACAAGTGAAAACACCTTTTTTTTTCATTTCCAATTTTTTCTTTAAATGTTGGAATCCATTCCATTTTTTTGAAAACAAACACAATATACCAAAAAGTTTCTAAAAAAACGAAAACAGGAAACTAAAGTGTTTACGAATGACCCTTAAATGCCTTGTTTCCATATAAATCTCAAATGCCCAAAACATAGAGAGGTAAGAAACTAGTATACCACATTTGGGAAGTATGTCCCCGTTCCTCGTGGCTTTGGCATCTCCTCCGCACCAAATGTTGTGCCAGGTAAAAGCAGCGTGTTCATGTGGTAGAAAGTGGGTCTTGGGATAACACCATTAGCATTCACATTGGAAAACCCATTCCGCTTGAAGTGATATGCATGCCGGATTACATCCCATGAACTCTTACTATGAAACTGTGAGGGCAACATTGGAATCATAGGCAAAGCAGGCACACTTGAGGAGTGCTCGTAGCACCACCAACCATATTGCAAACTATGAAGGTGACTTTTATAATCCCCACTGAGATCTGAAGCAACATCCTTTGATCCAACAGTGGTCGGGACCTCATGATTACCAACTGGCAAGTTCTTGTCAGGATCTGCAATCAAAACAGAGGATTCTAGCTCTTTCTTATCAGATTTTCCATATCCCGGTTTTCCATTAGTTGATACAGAGCCAGAAAAATAAAGGTGAGGTGCATGATATGTAATGCCCCGTTGAGGCATACTCTCCTCACCACTTGGATGGAAAGCTTTAGTTGTATCATTGGAAATTTTAAGACTTTGAATTCTGGAAGTCGCCAGGTCTTCTGCATCCCCAGAAAAACGGCTTCCCATAACAGCGGTCCTATTCGGAGAACCATCAGTTTCTGACAATAATGCGGCATTAACCACCTTCGTATAGCCATTTTGATATCCATTCACAGTTCTACCTACTTTTGTCTTGATCCCTGATAATTCACTGTTATAATCTCCATTGTGGGATGATCCATTAGCAGAGTTTAAATCAGAAATTGCGCTCTCTTTTTGACCTGATACAGTTTCTAAAATTGATGACGCAGAAATGAAACTATTGTGACCAGACATGGGGACTGGATCTTGAACATCAGGCCTCTGAGCACTTCCGTGAATATCCAAAGTGTTTGAGAAAAATTTGCAGAGTTCGCCGGCAATGTTATCTTCTGGCTGCAAAAGGATTTGCCCAAGTTTACGGGCCCCATATGAGAAAGCACTCCGTATTCGATAGTAGTTTCCTGCATAGAACAGACAGGTTATCATTAATTGATTATTTATAATAAAATAAATAAGTAAATAAAATAAGAGGGAGTTTGAGAACATCTGATAATTTGGTGTTCAAGGACTCCATGCCCAACCAGGCGACGTATCTCTGCTTTTAAAGTCCAAATAATTGTGCATGCACACAAAATAAATGATGAAGTTCAAATATTTTCCAAGAAATGCTTAAAATGAAATACACGAGGTTTACATTCTCAATGAGTAACAAATTTAGCTAGCTAATTTTTCACACATAATTTGGCTAATCTTTTTCCATGTCAATGAGAAAAGAAACCATCAGTTTTTTTTAGTTGCATCCCCAAAAATGGTGTTCTTGGTGCACTAAAATTCTACACATGCAAGATTCAAGATTATAAATGAAACATATCTAGCCTTGCCTCATAAGTACAGCAATTTCAAAATCTGAAAGCTCTCTTTCACAATGGGGTTGACGAAAAAGAAGACATGTTTCTCTACCTTTGCTGACACTGCGTCCAAGGTTGTTGTTTTCTTTTAGTGGATCAATTATGTTGAGATGCTTTTGGCAAAAAGTTCGTGAATTTATGTCAACCCCCCTTGAAGGAACTGAGAACTTGTCTGCACAATACCTCAGAAAATCATTACTAAGCAGTAGGTCACTCATACCATTTTCAGGCTTCTCAGCTGCAAAACAAAATATAAATTAAAATTTAAAAATCTCAATCAAATGACAAGTAGACTCATTCGATGTGGTACCAAATGTTAGAAGATGCTGCTCACCCACAATCTCTGGCAATGAGGATATACGGACTGGACCAATTAAACTAATGCAGTAATTGTCCCAATCGAATTTGCTAAAGTAGTCCAAAAATCTATATAGAACCTAAAATTCATCGGCACAGTCATGAAGTTAATTTTACGTCAACTATATGTATGGAACACAAATAATGATTTACATGAGAACTCACTGCTAAAGGACCATTCAATGCTGAATGGAAAAAATGGAAGATGTATAGAACCAGTGTCTCCAAAGCATATGTAGAAATCAAGCCATGATGAGCACCAAGAATACGACTTTCATAATAGCACCATGCCTTAATCAGTATAATACTGCGTTTAAATAGATGATCTTTGCCAATAAGGTGATCAACCTGTAAAAGAACAAGCAACATAAATGTGATATGCTATTTACTCTAAAAAACACAGTGGCATAAACAAGTCCACGTCCAACACCCATACCAGAGCCCATGTAACATAGCATACAACTCAGCCAGTCAAAATTACTTAATTAGAACATTTTTTAGAATAGTTTCAAATGCAAGGATAGTTTTCTAATAGAACAGAGATGGCTAAGAGTATTTAAGGTGCAACTCTCTGCAATACTACACCCGATTTTTGCTTTTGGGACTTGCAATGCTAAAAGGATGATGAATGAAAAATGCCAGAATACTGCAAAAGCTAATTGCAGCATATTCTAGATCAGAAGTGTACTGTGTCCCATACCATTTGATCCAGATGCTAAATTGTTGGGGCATCAGTTCCCTGTAATCCTGAGTCCTGACCCACAAACATCTGTGTTCCATTGTTTGTGATGAAATTTTTTTTGTGGACTTGGTATTTAAACCAAACCAAACCAAGCCTTAAGTCCCATCAAATGGGTTTGGCTAGAACTTGGTATTTGTAGGAAAGAAATAAAGAGTGGGGGGGAGTGTCCTTCCATATTATCTAAAATCAGATAACACTTCACTGACATTTTTCTTGACAAAAACAGCAAAAAGCTACAATGCTATAGACAGAAAAAAGAAGAATCAGTACATGCCCAGGATAACAGATGGTAAACAAGTGCATGAGTAGGTTACCTTTTATCAGTAGAATCAGTTACTTCTTAAAAAGTGGCATCATATTAGAATTGCACATTTAAGAGGGTAATCTACCTGCTCAAGAAAGCATAGTGTACAGAGCCCTCCTAGTTGATTGAAGGAGATATCCACCACAATATTCTGTATGATGCATTTAACGAGCTTAACCTGCCAGAAGAGAATCCGATATCTAAAATATGAGCATGCATACATGCATCACCAAACTACAAATTCTTTTACCATCTGGTATAAGAAAATCAAACAAAAGGGCAAAATGAACAAAAAAATAAAAGCAAAAAAAAAAAAAAAAAATCACAAGTTAAACAGGTATATTAGCCCAATGGAAATTCCACGACTTTGTGAACCAAGAGAGAGGACGTAGGACAGCCTAGTATTTTTTTAGTATTCTAGGGCTGTAACACAAGGGAAAGTGGTGAATTTTGAAGATTTGAGTGAAGAAATTGGCTTAGGGTTTATAAAAACAATGAATGCCAAAAGTGTAACTTAGGTTTTGATAAGTAAATTGATGCAAGGACATGTGTAATAACAGAAATTCAATAAACAAGAAAACAAAGAGAAAAGTACCCTACTCCACAAGGGCTTGATTGATCACAAACCGACTGATAGAAGAGTCACAACTATCTTTGATTTAGAGAAAAATTCCACTCAACTCTACATTCATTTAACAGCAAGGGGCCTAGTGCCTAGACAACCCTAAACTTAAAGACACAAAGATGCCTAATAAAAATTGCCTCCTCATACTTAGAAACGCCGACAATTAGGAATAGCGGTGAATTGGAAGAATGGGGAGAAGAAGAACTGAGAAACCTGGCAGGTTTCGCCAACTTCTCCCCCTTGGGCCTTGTCTTACTGCGGTTCCTTCTGGAAAAGATAGTCTTCCACAACTCAAGGAAAGAATCCCAGGGCTGGAATATGCTTGCTGGAAAGGCTGGATCATCAAGCCTACCCCTCTGTTATCCACGTTGAGACCCTTGGAAGGGGTTAGCCCTCAATGTACTGGAGAGGAATCTGGAGATGAATCCGAGGATTACGAATCCTACACGTACGTATTTGACGAAAGAGATCCATTGAGGGGCGAAATCGTCCCTGGAGGAGCCAGAGTGGACTTTGAAGGAACGATGATCGCCTTGAACATGAAAGGGGAAGTAGTAATTCATGATAGTAAAACGGGCGCCACTCTATCAGGCACCAACAGAATGGAAATTAGCTTTCCACGCGCATAGCTTTCATTATAACGAGTCTCATTTTTAAGGGACTCCTTTGAGTGACAGTTTGGGTAGGGAGACGGGAGCGAGAGCTTTACCTATGACCAAGAATTGCACCTTCCTACAGGAAAAAACGAAAAAAAAAAAAGATCGGCTCATACTTATGAAATTATAGTTAGAGGTTATTTATAACTTTCGCACCCTATTATTCTTCACGTTGCAATTCTTCCTGCAATGTTCAATTCTTTCACCCTTTATTTCATAACCTTGCGCAAACTGCTTATTCGCTTCACTCCTTGATGTGCCGGAAGTTATAATTAATCCTTAATAGCCAGCCAGAGAGTGACTTAACTCCAATCCTGCAAAGAGAACAACCCCTGTAGGCAATCAGTTCCTACCTATTCTTGCTAAACTCGGCATCAAGACTAGTTGCCTGGTGATGTTAGGAAATCTGCACATATAGGATTGCATACTTGGTCACTCGATGCTATGGAGGATCCCACTCCAGTATCACTTTGATTCATGCAGCTACTATGGAAACAGCTGGCGTTTTCATGATAGCAAGGTGCTCCCCTTTATTTGAATACCCACCTGAGGCTTTGATTGTTATTACTTTTGCAGGAGCTACGCCATCATTCCTTGCGACAACCACTGGAATATTACAGAACGATCTAAAGAGGGTCGGTTTAGGGGATTAATTGATTAGATACCCGAGAACCATAATCTTTCCTAGGAACAGCTTCTACAACAATAGATAGGGGTTAGGTTTGTTTGGCATCTATGCCCCCCTGCCCTCCAAACAGTATAGGAGCCTTTTAGCTCGTACTGCTCACACTCCTAGATCTTCACAGCACCTCCTCCACCATAGTGTGAGCTGGGAGCAGCTCCGAAAAGCGAGGCTACTTAAAAATTCGCTTTCAACAACAACACCACAAATAAAGTAAACTATGGTTGCCCACTGATCTGATCATAGGTGAAATCCAATCCCTTTGCTTAAGTATCAGATCGACCAAATTGAACAAATGATAGGTCAACATCATGTTGTTCATTGGGAATTGAAGAGGGGAGAACGAGCAGACATTCAACGATTAATAAATATTTCTTGTTATCGGAATTCGTCATGAAGATGGATCGCCCTTAAGTGGTTGAGCTGTTCATCAGCTAGGGATGGGAACTCCTTTAACTTAACTGAATTGAGAAGTCGAAACAGAAGTTCAATCATTTGAAGTTCTGTGTTCCACGAGTGTACAGGCGGTGGGAAGGCAAAGAATTGATATGGGATATGAATGCGGCAACCATGGAAACTACATTTATTGGAAGAATTAGATAGGAAGAAGCATGTTGCCAAATTGTGAGTTCAAACATAGGAAATCTGGATATCTATAGCAAATAATTGTTTGACGCCAAGGAGTGTTACATAACAGAGATATGTGGCATAGCCTGAGAAAATTTGTAACAAATTCAAAATGCTTAGACATTGTCTTCATGGGGAAAAGCGAAAATTATTGTGTTTCCCTTAGTAGAATTGAACTCTTTTGTCTAATGATGTTTACCAACAGATTTTCTCTCATAGAATACTGCATTACCTTTCCTGCAAAAGCTCACTTCCATTTGGAAGCAATCTGACAATTGACATGTGATGTGAATTTTTCATTAAAATAGACCAAGAAAATAATAAACGGAATACTCGGTATGAAATATGATCAAATCAGATATGTGGTTCCTTCAGCAAAAAAAACCACCCTAGGGAAAGAAAAATTTCAGGGTCAATGTTATTTTTTTTTTTTGATAGCTTCTACATTTTTATCTAAACCCACATTCGGCTTGTGGCTTTCTCCAATAACGACTTAGACACAGATCAGTTTATTCAGCAGTATCCACTATCTGCAAATTGAAAAATTCAAGCATCCCAAAATGCTAGCAACAAATGGACATGGCAATACGACAAAGAAATTAAATGAAGATGTCCTCAGTTTAAAACAAGTAAAAATCTTCAGAAAGGTATATCAGGGTAAAAGCAAAAAACCTCAGCCCAAATGAGTTGGACATCCTTCACTATGAATTCAGCAGCCCTATTCTTATATTCAGCTTCAAGTACAGATACTACCTCATTCACCAAAGCATCCTCAACATTTGTACCACCAAAGGCTGTCAAATCAATATCTCCATCAGGAAGATATGTTTTTAGTGGTACCGATCCAAATGGAAAGACCTGTAAAAAGTTCAAACAAGAACTTTATGAACATCATAGAAATTTATCAAAAGATACTTGAAAAGATAGTAGATCGGGCTCAAATTTGAATACAAATTGGAAGCCACATAATTTATTGTAATTCTCCAAGGTTCCATAAGAGGAATGGAAAGAACCTACATAAATTCAGGAAAAATACAAATAACCTAAAGACCAACAAATTATCAAGAATTGTTGGAAATGCCATCACCAAACCAATGGTTGGACCATCTCGGCATCAATTTCAACAGAAAATTTCACTTCTATCAAATTTTGTTAGATATAAATTTGCAATTGGTAGGAAGAATTATCTTTTGTACTTACAAAAGGCTGAGTGGAAGTAAAATATCCTCTTCTTTATTCAATGATTTAATTGAACTCCAAAAATACTAATAAAATTAGTAAGTGATACTAATACTTGATCATTTTGTCCCAGTATTTGAATATTTGTTCCCTTGTAGCCTTCTATCATACTTTTGTGGTTCCCTCATTAAAATCAGCAACACCAGTCCACTACAAATTTGGCTGACAAAAGTTTCCGCCCAAGCAGTTTATCGACCTTATAATTTGGCCCGATTTTAATTGTAAACCAAACCAAGCCAAGCCTTAAGTCCCATCAAATGGGGTCGGCTACATGAATCCTTCTTCTCCACGCGGTCCTATCAAAGGCCATTTCGTTAGTCAAATTAAGTAGATCCATATCTCTATTTATAACGTTAGCCAACATTAATCTAGGCCTACCCCGTCCCCTAACACTCCCCTCTACCGTTACAGTATCGCATCTCTTCACTATTGCCTCTGTTAGTCTACTTTGAATGTGACCAAACCATCTCAATCGATTCTCTCTCAACTTATCTTCTATCAGTACTACTCTTACCCATTCCCGAATACACTCATTCTTAATTCAGCCCTATCAAAGGTCATTTCGTTAGTCAAATTAAGTAGATCCATATCTCTATTTATAACATTAGCCAACATTAATCTAGGCCTACCCCGTCCCCTAACACTCCCCTCTACCGTTACAGTATCGCATCTCTTCACTATTGCCTCTGTTAGTCTACTTTGAATGTGACCAAACCATCTCAATCGATTCTCTCTCAACTTATCTTCTATCAGTACTACTCTTACCCATTCCCGAATACACTCATTCTTAATTCTGTCTTGTCTAGTCTTGCCACACATCCACCTTAGCATCCTCATCTCAGCAACACTCATCTTATCTACATGTTGTTTCTTGGTTGCCCAACACTCCGTCCCATACAACATCGCTGGTCTAATAGCCATTCTATAGAACTTACCTTTTAGTCTAGTGGGTATTCGTTTTTCGCACAGTACTCCAGACGCACTTCTCCACTTACACCATCCCGCCTTAATCCTATGGGCCACATCCGCATCAATCTCCCCCGCTGTTGTGATAATCAACCCTAAATAACGAAAATGTTCACTCTTAGGCGATTCTTGGTTCTCAATCTTCACTTCTCCTCTGCTTTCATTGTTACTGTTACTAAATTTACACTCCATGTACTCTGTCTTATTTCTGCTTATCTGGAAACCTTTAAATTCAAGAGCTTTTCTCCAAAACTCCAACTTTGTATTAACTCCTTCTCTAGTCTCATCCACTAGCACGATATTGTCTGCAAAAATCATACACCATGGCACGTTATCCTGAATATTTCTCGCCAACTCCTTCATAACTAAAGCAAAAAGATAAGGGCTTAAGGTAGATTCTTGATGTAACCCAACAGTGATAGGAAATTCATTTGTCTCTCTAACAGGCGATCTAATAGTGGTCACCACCCCTTCATACATGTCCCTAATCATATCAATGTAACCTTTTTGTCACCCCTTTCTTCTTTAACACCCACCATATTATATCTCGGGGCACTCTATCATATGTTTTCTCAAGGTCGATAAACACCATATGAATGTCTCTTTTCTTTTCTCTATACTTTTCTATTACTCTCCTCAAAAAATAAATCGCTTCCATTGTTGACCTGTCGGGCATAAACCCAAATTGATTATCTAACACCTCTGTTATATCTCGAACTCTCCAATCTCTCAATCATTTAGCCCTCTTTATTCATTCAATTCAACAGCCAACCATAAACTTGTATCACAAATATGTACACATAATTGCCATGGTAGTAAATTTGTAACCCGCCAAAAGAACATAGACACATATTACACTCTTCATCCTTCACCAATACCTTAGAATCATCATTCTTGATGCACTTAACTTGATTAAAATCTTTTGTTTTCCTCTCTCGTATCTTAGCAAGTTTGTATACTCTTTTCTCTCCTTCTTTACTATATAGTCTAGTGTATAGGTCATCATAAGCTTTCAACTTAGCATCTCTCAATACTTTTTTGACCTCCTTATTAGCCAATCTATAGCTCTTAAGGTTTTCCTCAGTTCTATCATTCTGTCACTTTTTAAAGCACTCTTTCTTTGCCTTAACTACCGCTTCAACCTCTTCCCTCCACCACCAAGTTTCCCTTTCGACTCTCCAAGCACTTCCCTTGAGATTCTCCTCATACAATTGGCCATCGAGTTCCACATTGTGTTAGTATCATCTTCCAAGTCCCAAGTACCTTCCTTATCCATTCTATTTTTAAATATTTCTAGTTTATCCCCTTTTAGGTCCCACAATCTCGTCCTACGACGCCCACCATCCTTCCTAGCTTGGTATTGCCCTTTAAAACATAAATTTAGTACCAAAATCCTATATTGAGAGGTCAAGCTCTCTCCAGGAATCACCTTACAATCATTACATTTTAGGCGATCCACTTTTCTTACTAAGAAGTAATCTATTTGGCTCTAAACTGACACTCTTAAAAGTTATCAAATGCTCCTCCCTCTTCTTATACATAGTATTGGCCACCACCAAGTTAGAAGCCAACGCAAAATCTAAGATACTCTCTCTAGCCTCATTTCTGTCACCAAAACCGTATCCACCATGCACCCTTTCATAGCCTAGTTTATCTATGCTTATATGGCCATTAAAATCTCCACCTATAACCAGGTTCTCTCCTACGGGCATCTCCTGTAAGATCTCATCCATTTGCTCCCAAAAACCCCTCTTAGTCTGATCATCTAATCCTACTTAAGGGGCGTATACACTAATAACGTTCACTATATTCCTTCCAATAACTAGTTTAACTAACATAATCATATCCCCTTTCCTAATAACCGCCACTACATTCTCCACCAGACCCTTGGCAATTATGTTTCCTACCTCATTCATGCGTCTGTCCTTACCACTATAATATAGTTTAAAATTGGTATCCTCAATTTCCCTAACTTTCTCATCCGTCCACTTAGTTTCTTGTATGCAAGTTATACTAACTCTCCTTCTAATCATAACATCTACCAATTCCAGCGTCTTACCAGTTAAAATTCCTATATTCCAAGTGGCTACCCTAAACCTGTAGTCTTGGACTAACTTCTTTACCCGCACTCGTCCAGAAAAATGCGCAAATCTGGCATCCCTAGGAATTGCATCCAAAGTACACTCACTCAGCAAGAGTTAATTTACGTTAAAGCACCATAATGATTTCCCTATGATATAAGATTTGAGATTGCCTCTCCAAAATTGGCAACCATCCATTCTATTATTTCCTACCTATATAAAGATTAATACTTTACAATGACCCTCCCCAAAAACCAACTATACAAAACAAACAAAAATTTACTCTTAATTCGCAAAATAGCCTCTTGTTCTGCACAAAAATTCTATTTTGTTCACCCCAAACCAAACGCCAAGCTTTCCTCCTCCTCCCCAAACGAGCTCCCCTTCCCCCATCTTCCTATCAACTCCAAACATGAGGATCAAAGATCATAACTCTCACCCACCTGACAATGGATACAAAGACAGCTAGTTGTTTCCTCATCATGCTTACATGTGCACCACCAATTAACATGCACTTGCCTCCTGATCAGATTATCAATAATAAACATCTTACCATACAAAGAAGGTCATCTTAGATGGGAACTTTGTATTAAGGAAAAGGGGCTTCTATGACCCACAAGGGTCTCATATAAAGGCTACACATTAAATTGATCAGAAACGGATCTCATCCATCGAATAGAATCACCTCCGTCACCAGACACCAATACAAGTAGCAAATAAGCACCCAAGGAGATCCAACAACTCTCCAATCTCTCAATCATTTAGCCCTCTTTATTCATTCAATTCAACAGCCAACCATAAACTTGTATCACAAATATGTACACATAATTGCCATGGTAGTAAATTTGTAACCCGCCAAAAGAACATAGACACATACTACACACACGTCGCGTATAGAGAAAGTACCGACACTCAAAATAAAACAAAACAAAAACACAACAACAACAACAACAACATATTATATTAATTTCAAAACAACAACAAAATACGAATATTTCAAGAATCAACATGGCTTATAAAAACAAGTTGACAATTTATAGTTGCACTAATGTCCAACCTCACGACTTTATGACACATAAAATGGGAGATCAATTAATTATGGTGCAAGACAACATACTTCTTTGGCACATCATGGAACCACATTCAAAGCAGAATATACACATCTCTTGCCACAATTTAATTTGTAACAGCCTCGATTAATACCAATACTAGACCCCTGGCACTTTCTACCAGTCCCCAGCTAACACATAGCCGATGTTGAAAAAATTCCGCCAAGCTAAACTACCATAAAGTTCAGTTTTTTCTTTTTCCAAAACGACATACATTGCACGTCATATTGGTCACAATTCAATCACTTTTAACCACTAACACTTAATCTCCAATTCACAGAAACCAGATCAACAAACTGTATCAATTCATACAATCTATTGCAGTTAAACATGTCCAAAACAAGCCAAGCGCTTCCATGATGCTTCAACTATCTCGAGTATTGAACTAAACCCGGGTTCCAAACCTTACAAAAAACCTAAATTTTCAACCACAACAAACAAAACATCTACAAGAAGCAAAACATTCAAATGGAATCACATACAACATAAAGCACTCATTTATATACACATTTGTATATATGTGTATCAGCACATCAAATGCTCACCTCGCAACCAATAGCACCTCCAATCAACCTCTCAACGTAATCTATAACCTCCCTCCTCCTTTTCTCAGACAAGACAGTGGGCTGAACCTGCCATACAATCTTCTGGGTCGCTTCCTCTGCTCTGTTCCAGCGCTCTGGGTTCGACGATGACGGTGATGGTGGTGATGGAACTTGCCTCTCTTCTTCTCGGAGATCACCCATTAAAGTACCCAATTCTCAAAAACGCAAAAGAAAACCAAAAGGTCTTCTCACAAACCATATGGGTCTCGAATTAACGATACCATCGTCTCTGTTTCTTGATCAAAATCGTTTGGTTTCTGGGTTGGGTGTTGAACTCGATTCGTGAGGGTTTGCTAGATGGGTATGAGAAATAGTTACATGAAAGTGAAAAAAATTGAAATCTGTATGCACAGAATACCAAAAATAAATAATAAAAAAAAAAATACAAAGATGGTGTGTGAAATTTGTTCTGGATTTGAAGAAAAATCCAGGCTTCTTTAGTTTGTATTTGAGAAACATGTTTTGAGATAAAAAATACAAAATTTTATTTGGTTTGGTTTTTTTTTAAAAGATGTTTTGAAAAATTATTTTAAAAGAGAATTTTGGAAAAAGTGATTGATTTGATGTGTATGAGTGAGAGATTTGTTTGGAAAACTTGTAAACCAAACAAGTTTTGAAAAAAAAATTTAGAAAAATTTGTTTGATCTGATTACTTTTGAAAATTTATTTGTAGAAAATTTTTTCTAAAATTTTTTGAAAAACACAAACCAAACAAGGCCAAATTTTCTGAACTTGGATGAGTACTTTTGTTATTGGGTATTGTCGATTTCTGTTGGGTTCATATCAATCCTTTTCTTTTAGTAAAAATACTTAAAACTCTGGATTTTTGTTGGATTTTTTTGTATGTATTTTTCGGATGTGTCCTCTTTTCAAATATGCAATTTATTATATTTTACCCTTTTTACTTCATCATTTTCCCTTCTTTTATCTCTTTTTCTTCTTTTGCCTTATTTTATAGGGCCTTTTCTCAAACTAAGTCTCTTTTGCTTCCTATTTCTCAAACTAGGCCTAGTTTTAATGGAATTCCCAAACTAAGTTAAAGCGCTATTACAAATCGCGCTTTAACTGTTTGGAGGCTAAAATTTGATGAATAGTTAAGGTGTTATTGTGAATCGCAAGTTTAATTAATAAAACGCTGTTAGGAATAGCGATGTTAGCCTCAATTATAAAACGATTCATTTGCTATTTTTCCCACCTCAATTATAAAACGCTATTCTGAATAGTGCTTCATTTTCTGATTGGTTTAATAAAGAAAACGCTATTACAAATAGCGAGTTCACTTATGAATAAAACGCTATTGCAAATAGTGATTTTAATTGTGAATAAAACGCTATTTAAAATAGCGTTTAAACTGTTTCACTGCAAACCCCTTTCCTGGTGTCATTGTTTTGGTGATGATGTGATTCAGAAAATTTTATTGGCTTTAAAGCCATTGTCATGTTAAAAATTTTTTTTTTTTCTTTTGTTTTTGTTTTTGTTTTGGTTTAGAAGGTGTAATTCAGAAATTTTACATAATATGAGAAAAACCTCTTTTCATATATTTATTTTACATAATATTTTTCATATATATAATTTTAAAATCATATTCATTTAGATATTATTAAGCCAATCAAGTTCATTTACAAAAGTCATGGTTTCACTGTTCACTATTGTAAGCATGGATTGAAACCACACTTTCACTGTTCATTTAAATTAGATTTAATTTTTTTTTGTAAATATTTTTTTTTAGTCAACCCATCACAGATTCAAAATATTAAAATGCCCCTTGCACGCAGGGACTACGCATGCGGACAACGAGCTAACAGCGCTCCCAATTGGCTTTATATCGCAACTGCAGAATCGCATTTGAATCTCGTACAATTCGTGATGAAGCTTTCCTACTATGTGTATTGGAAATTAGCAATCTCACAGCTGCTCCTACTATTGAATGTACTAACGGAAAGTTCTTCCCGTTTGTTCTGGGTTTTATGATATGCCGATTTCAACGAAATTAAAAAAAGGGCAGAGCCCGCGTAGATAATAAAATCCGAAAATACATTCTATTTTTCTTATTCTTCAAACATGTTATACCTGCAGTCACAAGAAGATGAGAAAGCGACAGTTATTGATCAAACATACATGCACCCAAGCAATATCTAAGTTTTTACCCGGCGTCCGTATTCTGATAGTATGTAAAGTTTGCCCCTTACAGGAAAGCCTCTCATCAAGACCTCGTACAATACAAAGCCTTACGAGGGAAGTCGGTTAAAAACGAAGACACGTCGTATTTTGTACCTACTATGTCTCATTTCTACCATACTCTAAACATTACCCCAATGGCCGTCTCTTTCCCGTCTTTTCAAAACCTTGGTGCCGTTAAGGCTATCACAATTCTTTATAAAATATAAAAATATCTTTTACTTTTTCCTAACTAAAATATCCATTTATCTTATTTTAATTATATTTTTAGATATTATGTCTTAATAGCAGCAATTTTCAATTCTTTTTCGTGTGTGTAGGTTGGGCCGATGATACTCATGAATCGATAAACCTCTTTATATGCTGTCCATGAATTGGTGTCAAGCACATTGCGCAGGTGCTTATTCTAGCTTATTAAAAAATCCTAGCACCTGAGACCTCCACAAAGGGTTTAATGCAAGCGAGATCTAGCCTCTGTCATTTCCATTCCAAAAATGTTATTTCCGTTCGGCAAAAGAATCCGAATAATCTCCTCATAACGTTATCCTTATCAAAGAACGTCAACTCCCGCTGGGTCGCGTGAGAACAAGTGCAGAGTCCCATAATTCTCATGGAGGGCTGAATTAGCTCCTCTAAGTGGAATTTTGCTACGAAACGAACACTCAGTTTTGCTTAACTATACGTCAATAACTTATGTCTTAAGTATCGTTCTTGCGCCTCTCATTTCTGTCCAATGTTTCCAGTCTCTTACTGCCGACTAATTACTTAGAGCCGAATACATTTCTTTCTATGTCTAAATGGACTAGAGGGTAAACTATCGCAATTTTTTTTTGATCTTACTAATGTATGCAGTCATGCATGACATTTGCCCCCCAGTTGAGGCTCCATAATCTTAGCTTCTCCTGCCATAAGCTATCCCTTGAAAGACACTAGTACGTCTTGAATCAGTATATCTTTATACTTGCCACCCAGAATATCCGAGGCTTGATCAAGATCTCGAATCTTGTGACCACGACAGCACTACAGACAATAATGGTACCTTGACTTCTTGAGATACAGAGTATTTGAATTTGAAGCTGCACATCTTGCCCTAAGATCCTTAAGAAATCATTTCCACACCATTTTCGCAGGGACCACGCAAAGAATTTTAAATCTTTTACGAAAGCCGACAGTTGCTTGCGCTTGAACAATGTAAAACGCAATTGATTCACTAGAGCCAAGAATCCTTTATCCACGAGTACTCACATAACAAGCATATTCATCATTAGGCTTAGCATGCCTCCTTTCTCTCAATTTGACCAATTTGCAATAACCCCGAGGAAATCCCTTCCCTCTAGCCGTTTTCACCTGCAGTGTTCTAAAATTAGTTGTGGAAAACTTAGATGGAAACATATAATGTCAAGCACCAAGAGGAGCAAGGTGAATGACTCTGCTCGCATATAGCATATGCAGCAACCGCGGTGCACCAAAAGAAGCACACGCCAGAAGCAAACAACAAAGTATGTTCCCGATAATGACCTACTGCCCGAGTGCCCAATTATCTGATAGCGGAAATTATTTGTTTGCTCCATCAACTCGACTCACCAATAGACAACGGATAGAAGCAACAGCTCTAAAAGAAGAAATCGAGATAACATAAAAACAACAAAACAAGGCATTAATTATGTTGTCCAAAAGGTAACAACCCCAACTCAAATGACAAATCCCATCAATCGACGCCCCAAATCAACAATCGGAGGTAACGATTACTCCGATACACCAAAGGACAGACCCCAATACAAAAAACTGACTCAGTTACAAAAGTTCTAACCCAAGCACTGGAATCCAGCCCTTAGAATTAGCAATAACCTCTCCTTGTACCATCCCATACCCTTCCGTTGATGTTGCGGGAGAATGAAGCAGAAGGGAGCAGCTGTGGAGAAGGCAGTCATAGGAGTTGTGTTCGAGCGTCGTGCGTGAGGGGCTTAATAATCTGGAAGCCTTCCGAGTATGGATTGCAGCATGAGAGTCCCTGATGGTATGGGTTTGATTTGCCTTGGACCCCAAATATGCTAAAAGGAGTAACAATTGGTGTGAGGGATAAAGATGAGTTTCACAGAAATAATAAATACATGAAAATACAAAAATGTACTGAATGCTTTGTTTTTATATTTTTTTTTTTATATTTTGGGTATTTTAGTGATTTAAAAGATTTTGTTTACGATAATTTTTTTACTTTCAAGTGAATTATTGTTAGGATGGCCTAAAAAGTAAAAAAAAATTTGCCTTAACATATAGTGTCTTAAATAATTCAATAAAGAAAAACACGATAATGAAGAAGTTTAGATTAGAATTATTCTGCGAAATATTTCTCCTGTGAAAAATAAAAAACAAGCAAGCAATCAAACCAACTAAACGTCTGAATTAGTCAAATTTCTCTGCCTGGAATTTTTTTGAAAAAATAAATGTGAAAAAATATAATTTAAAATGCAAAACAAACACCACGCCGTTAAAAATTTTGGGTAAAAAAATAATTGACAAAATTGACAAATATAACCGCGAACACAGCCTAATTTTGACTTACAGCATTGCATTGAAATGTACTGTTATAATTTTAAGTACAAATTATTTAATTTTATTTAGAATTTTGGTCTCAACCAATTTATGAGCCATTCCTGTTGGACGCATGCAGTGCCACTACTTAACAGTGCATTCGGCTGGCAGGACTTCAACTTTGTCAAGTCATGAACGAATCAAAGCCCGTTTTAGCATCGGCTTTGTGCCGCAGGATGGTTATTTTTGTAGCCTGGCTACTTGTAAAAAATGGTAACTCTTTACCCTTCTTTCAAATTTGGAAGTTAAAAAAATTAAGAGGTAGTTTTAAAACATTAAGAGGTTGTTTTGGATGATCAAAATAAGGTATTTTTCCTCACATTACAATATTTTTCTACAATAGATTTTTCTTACCATTGTCAAACCACTTTTTCTTTACAATATTACTTTTAATGTAATTCCAATTTTTATTTTAACAATTTTTACTTTTACGTGTTGTATGTAATGGTTATTAATTATTATTAGTTTTTTTGACACCCCCTCAAAATTTGTTATGAATTGCATTTTAATTCCAATGGGCCACATAGGTAGGTATGTGACTTTGTGCAGCGATACAGTGATTGTATTTACTTGGTGCAGTGATACGGATTGAGCATGGACTTATGCAGTGATGTTTAGTGATGCATGTCACTTAATGCGTAT